CTCGTGAATCTGAGACGCTCCCCACAAAACCTCCTGCAGGGACAGTCAGAAAGGGAGACTCCTCGCAGGAAGACAGAAGACAATGAAACAGATGTTTTCCGTAACACAGAAGAGAATAAAAGTTAAGCGTCGGCCAGGGTACAGGAATGCTTTAACTATTATGTCACCTGCCTGTGCAAGTTCCCAAGAGAATACACTCCTGGCATGAGTGAACTCAGAGGTGATGGAAGTTTGAAGTATACCTGGCTACCCACAGAGCAGGGACAGCTTAAGACTGCTGAGAAATCTTCAGGCGGGAGATGGGGGTCCTCATCCTGAGTCCAGTACAAGAAACTCAGGTCTCTGAAACCCAGCCCCTCCCACGCTCTCCCCAGTCACAAAGTGCTAGTGATCCTACAGCTGCCCGCCTGTCAGCATCACCCCACATCTGAATCGTGCGGCTTGACCCCCTACTTTCTTGCCTTGATATACAAGCCCTCCACAGCGACCCTTCAGGAGAGAATACCCTCCAGTGCCCCCTGTGAGGATTTTATTCCAAACATATGTTGTGAATGTTTGAAGTGCCCGCTATCCCTGGTATTTCTTTTTTCTTTTCTTTTTTTTTTTTTTTAAGTCAAACCCACAAAACCTAAAATACTTTGAATCCAGCCTAAGTGCCATTTGTGAAGACGCAATACTGCATACCCAAGGATAATCAAGTCTTGTGCAATAAAAATTGTACAGATGTCCTTCTGAGGGTAAAGAAACAATTTTCCCTTTTCCGATCTTACAGGAAGCCTGCCCACACGTTAGAAATACAAAGTCAGTATATATAGAAGCACAAATTAGGCATCTTGGAAAGTCCACATTTTCCAACCACAGAGAAATGAAGGAATTCCTGGGAGTGTTCCCATGCCCAGCTACACTGGATTGGAGGAGTCTTTTTTCTCCAAAAACCTGGTGGAGTTGGCACACGATTCACAGGAAAAGGGAACAACAGCCTACAAAGATGTTTCTGAACCTTGAGCCACTGAAGGTCTGCAGGAAACTTGTGTTTTGAGAGTTTCACTGCAGGACTGAGGAGTATAGAACGTGATCGAACTTGCATGCCTTGTTTTAAAAAGACCGCACTTTTCTCATACACTAAAAATTTCTGGAGGACCTATCAACTTCAGCATTGTGTTGTTCATTCATTAGCTTTCCCTGGATAATTAAATCCAGAGAAGCTAGACAGATTTTATTATAAAGTACCAAAAAAATACTGGTAGAAGACTAAAATATCCAATAGAGTTCTAGAAAAAGTAGCGTTACAACCTACCTAACTCCTTGAGGCTTAGTTTAGGATATCTTTAAAAATATTTCATATGGGGGACATCTGGGTGGCTCAGTCAGTTAAGCGTCTGCCTTCGGCTCAGGTCATGATCCCAGGGTCCTGGGATCGAGTCCCCACATCAGGCTCCTTGCTCAGCGGGGAGCCTGCTTCTCCCTGCGCCTGCAGCTCCCCCTGCTTGTGCTCTCGCTCACTCTCTCTAGCCTCTGCTCTCTCTCTCTCTAGCAAATAAATAAAATCTTTAAAAAAAAATAAAATATTTCATACGAATAATTTGCAGCTTTCATTTTTCCAAGTATATTAAGTTTGTATTTGTTACATACATACAAATACATACAAGTATTTAAAAGTTTAAAACTTCCCAAAGTCATTTAAAAGCTTTAATATTTCTTCACTTACAAAATAGAAAAAAATATAGTCAATTCACTAAGGTGCAGGGACAAAGGTTATGTTCAGAAGGCCACCATACACAGTGCTGACTACACCAACCCTCTTCCTAAGATTTACAGTCCACTCGATCTCTAATCTGTTACAGAAGACACAGATCTCAGGGAGGCAGAGAAATACACAGGACTACAGCACTAACAAAAACAGCTCGGTTGTTCTGGAGGAGATGGTGGTGATGGTGATGAGGATAGTGATAGTGGTGGTGATGGTGGTGGTAATGGAGGTGATGGTGGTAATGGTGGTGATGGTACTGGCACTGGTGATGATGGTGATGGTGGTGGTGGTAATGACGGGGGTGGTGTTGTGGTGATGGTACTGGCACTGGTGGTGATGGTGGTGATGATGGTGATGGTGGTAATGATGGGGGTGGTGTTGTGGTGATGGTACTGGCACTGGTGGTGATGGTGGTGATGATGGTGGTGGTGGTAATGATGGGGGTGGTGTTGGTGGTGATGGTGGTAATGGTGGTGATGGTACTGGCACTGGTGATGATGGTAATAGTGTTGGTGGTGATGGTGCCGGTGGTGATGGTGGTAATGGTGGTGATGACGGTGGTGGTGGTAATGATGGGGGTGGTGTTGGTGGTGATGGTAGTGGTATTGGTAATGATGGTGGCGGTGTTGACAGTCATGGTGGTGGTGATTGGGTGATGGTGGTGGTGGTTGTGGTGGTGACAACTATGGTGATGATGGTGTTGGCACTGATGGTGGTGATGGTGGTGGTGGTGACAGTGATGGTGGTGATGATGGGGTGGTGGTGGTGGTGACAATGAGGGGGGTGGTGGTGACAACGATGGTGATGATGGTGGCGATGACGAGGATGGCGGTGATGATGGTAATGATGGCGGTGATGATGGAAAGGAAGGAACAGGAGGAAATGGAGGCACAGGAAAACAGGTGCCATAATGATCTGAAGCACTCACCATGAGCCAGAGATTTTACTAAATACCATATTTGCGTCGTCTCACTTAATTCTCAGGAAAACGCCATGGAAGAGCAGTCACATTATAACACCAAATAAATGGTTAGGAAATGATTCTTAGTGGGGTCGGCACACTTGGCCATGCTGCACAGCCACTACATGGCAAAGCTGGAGCTTGAGCCCCATCCCCTAAATGGTAATCCAATCTGTGGTCTCTAGAACTCCCCATCCATGTTGTAGATGTAAGGATCTCATTTATTTATTTATGACCAATTTAGGGAGTACATTGGGATGGTGGGTCAAAATGGCATCTGCCAGTTGGTTATAGGCAAGCGTCCATAGCTTGTCAGTCATCATGCAGTTTTAACAATGCCTTGAACAATACAGCGGGGAAAGTTAAGGAGCATCCAATGTACTGGTCTATGTCCTCTAAATAGAACAGTTCCAAGCCCCACTAAGAGCTCTGCAGTGCCCTGAGCTAGTTAATGTTGAGGCCCAAGGGATGGGTCACAAACGCACGCTGCCAAGAGGTGCCAAGGATCCCAGGTGTGCAGAGAGCCTATCCCTCAAAGGTAGGGGAAAAGAGTCAATGGGCAAACCATTAGAAGAAACGGACCAAGAACAAGCTGCAGGTTGAATGGCACAGAGAGAAAGTTAATGATCATCTGCCTACTTCCATCAACCAGAAAAGAAGTATTCGTCAGCTGTCCTGCCCAATTACATACCTCAATTATTAGTGGGCATCTGGAACAGAGAGCAAAACATAAGTATGAGATGGGAAAAGTTTGTGTTCACACATAAGGATGAAAACAAGACAGGGAACCTGTGGTTAATAAACTAGATCGATTCTTTTTAAAAAGTAAATATACTCAGGGAGTCTTAGTAGGGAGGAAGTTCGCAGATTCCCTCACATCTTCTGCACGGAGCTCTCTAATAGAGACTCGCAAATAAAAATACAATATAGAAAACAAGAATGTGCTCAGAGAAACATCCTGCCAACGTTATTGTAAACTCTCGCTCCTAAAAGAAAATGAAATAAACTTCAACAAAGACAGAAAAAGAAGTGAGCACCCACCTCCTCCTCATTTCTGGATCTGTAAGAAACAACTGTAGCAGCAGGGCTGAGAAATGCTTTTTAATCAGAGAAGCTGTAGCCTTTTTTAAAAGCCTAGAAGAATCCATAAAACCTTTTCCTCCATGCTTCTGACCACTTAAAGAAATAATGTACCCTCCATCTCTACCAACAACGTAATCTGGTCGGGGCGAAAGCAGTTGCTGAGACGTAAGGCTGCTCCAGGCTCTTTGATCTGCACCCTGATGAGGGAACATTCCCCTCTGCTACAAGTCAGCTAACGAAGGGATGAAATTAGCTTTTATCCTGGGCACTTTCTTGAAGGGAAAAAAAAAAAAAAAAAAGGCACTAATCAGCTGTCCTCGCTAATCAGTCATCTGGCTAATGACCTTTTGCCTTAAAACACTAAAATTTCTGAATGATGTGGAGAAAGGGAAACACAAACCAGTCCCCCTCTCTGGAGCTCAATGGATCATCTGGAATTGGAGCCGGGAAGGTTAAATGGCAAGTCTGTATCCTGGCAAGGTGATAAATCTGTAATCAAGAGCTGCAGCTTTGGCACCTCAATGTGAACTTCATTACTTCCACAACCAAATTATATATTTTTTTAACTAGAAACAGGCCACAAATAAAGTCAACCATTATACATTTTTCTTGGAGAAAGCCATCGTATATTTGTATTCTGAGTCCTAGTGAATTACTTAAACTTTATTAGTGCTGGAAAAGGAGCTTCCCATGTTTCCGGTCTGCCAGTTAGAGAAGAAAGTAAAACGTGTAGAAAAATCTTCCACATCTAAGGAATTTAGTACTGATTTGCTCCAAAGGAGTTCGTTCATTCTCAACAAGTAAGCAAAAAAAAAAAATCATTCAAAATGGGGATAGATGTTGTTCAGGAATTCTGCCAGGGCAGCCCACTTTAATAACTACCCCCATCAACCAATTTTGCTCCTGCAGTGTCTACTTGGGTGGAAGAAATCTGGTTCTCGTTCCCAGCAAAGGTCCGTGTGGATTAGCCACAGATGGACACCTTCCTGAAGGCTGCCCCACAGAGGCTTGGACTGGCTTAGAGACGTAAGAAAATGGTTCTCTCTAAAAAGAGGAATGGACAGGATGTAGGAGAAGAAAAAGAAGAAAAAACTGGAGAGTAAATTAAACATTGGTATAAGTTAATACCAGCCCGATAATTCATACAGCGCATGGGCAGCCTTCCGTGGCTCCCGGAACCAGGGTGATGGGGCAGGAACCACTTACGGTAGTGAGGCTCCATGTAACCGTTCCGGGGGTCCATGGCAAACACGGCCCCGCGGTATGGCACGGAGGGCTCGGCCAGGTGCGGCAGGGACCCATGGATCTCCTTCTTGATCAGCGAGGCCCTCTCCTCACTGGATGTCGAAGGCTCCTCGCTGATCTTGCCAAGCCCCTGGACACTCTGTGGCTGCATGGTGACTGCGTTTCTTCTCTCTCTGTGATAGGTCTGTCCAGGACTTTCATCCTCTGAAGAAAGAAGGAAAATGGAAGCTCTGTGAGCCACATGAAGGAGCAATCCAAGAACAGTCATCAATTAGGTCTCCCTCTCCATCCCTCCTCCCCAAAAGAAGCCCTATTTCTCATCCATGGCAACTCTGAAAGCTACACCATGATGGCATATTCCGCAGACAACACTGCTTATGAATGAGGGTCCAAATTACAAATCGAAGGCCTAAGGGGAGCAGGAAATGAGCCTATTAAGTTGAGATGGAGGGGGTCAGCAAATTATCATCACCAGCTTACAAGTGAATCTGCCAGGGAGGCTTTTCATTAGAGACTTGCCAATATCCCTGCGGGTCCCAAGTGGAGCGGAAGTTTTGCCAGCCAGAGGCCATGGGTGTCCAGCTTCCCCCTGCCTGTCCCTCAGCTGGGCCGCTAGGTATCAGGCAGCTGGGACACCCACTGCGCCTCTGGGTGATCGGCGGGTCGAAGGACCTAAAGTGATCCAGAAGTTTTCCTGTTTTTGTTTTTTTTTTTTAAGTCAGATCTGTAACCCACTGGTTTAGTGGAGCTAGAAGTGGGACAAAAGACCCACTGGTTACGAGGGGTAAAGGTAAACCTACATACAGTACCCTTTGCAAGACACTTCTTTCTGCAGTCCATAGAACAGAGCCAAGAACCAAGAAGCAAATGGAGTAAGACTAATTCCCAGAGCAAGATGGCTCAGTGGGTGACGAAGGCATCAGTGATGCAGACACGGGCACGGACTCTGCTGGGGTCCAGACGCTGCTTCACACACTTACGAAACAGCTTGACAAAATTCCACATACATTCAATATTCCAGCTTCCTAATACTTCCGTTCCCTTTGATCTGTAGGAACTTCCCATCTACCCATTAGGGCTCTCTGCAAATGTGATTGGATGACCTTTCTAGAATAGCAGATCAAAGAGCCCATGCATAAAATTAAACCGAACGAGTGATCTGAATCCACAACAAATGGGCCAATTCATCTGTTGGAGTCATACACACATTCTGCATTACATACTCCCAAACAAGCTCTGCATTTCATCAGCAGACTGTGTTCTCTGGAAGGTAAGTGCTGATGGAAACAAAGCTGTTGGGGCACAGCTCAGACATCTAATCTGAGAATGATGTCCCATTCTTGATCTGAAATATACATATATATGTAAGTAATAATAGCGTTGTACATTCTGGATGGACAGATTCTGAACACATCTTATCCCAACACATAAACTGATCTTCAGAGTATTTCATAAAGCAGTTATATCTGGCTGAGAGCCCCTAAAAAAAAAAAAAAAAAAAAAAAAAAAAAAAAAAAAACAGGAAAATATGCTTTAGCAGTTTCATGGCTGTTTGTACAAATTCAGAAGAAAGTGTAGCTATAAACACGGGCAAGCATGAAAATATAAACTATAGTCACGACTATGTTTTGTGATACCAATAACTTGAACTACCCAAAGCCAGGAGCAATTTTAACCGTTCTGCTTGTGTCTGGGATTGGAAGAAATAAGCAATGTTTTGTTCTGTTTTTCAGTCTAGCAAATGACTTGCAAAACAGAATAGACAATGAGGTATGCTTTGGTCTTTACAGTGAATTTGCTGACTACTGCAGGATAACTGCAAAACATTATTTAGCATTGTTTTGTGCAGATCTTCACCACCAAATCTTGTAATTATGGGATAAATGATGAGTTTAATCTACCAAGTAACTACTAAAAAGGAAAAAAAAATGGGTGTAATCCCACATTTTCACACATCGATCTTTACAAGAGCAATTCAAACCATGCTTTTGCTAATTTAAAAACAAAGTACCCCCCCAAAAAAAACCCTACATTTTTATTTTCCCTTCTGACTAATACTTTTAGGCACCACTCCACCCTTGTACTTCATTAGCAATAAAGTTGCAGGCTATAGAATAAGGGTTTGCAGTTATGTAAAAGCAAAAGTGTGTTAAAAACATTAAAACTCTTAGTCTGTTTTATAAAAATTCCTATAACCTACCAATGGCCAAAGTCATATTTTCCACTAATTTGCCCCTGTATAAAATCTTTATTTCCAATTTCAACCTGAAGTGAACTTGTAGCACTTAGGTGCAAATTCTGTAGAATGGACCTTCATCTGGAGAGCCAGAGTGTCCTCACCAAGAGCCCCTGAGACACATAATTAGCATTCTCTGGTTAAGATGAATAACCAAGTTCCACTAATCTGTTCCAAGTTGAAAACAGGATTCCCTTGACTTAATCTTCCTAGAAGAAATTAACTTTTCTTCTCTTAAACCTGCATCCCTATAAGAGTGAGTTTCTTAGAAGCTGAGCCTTTATGATGAGCAGTTGAATCCAACTTCACAAATAATTGAATGATTGGCATGGTCTAACCAGAGTCCTCCCAGGTTCCCCCAGCCTCCTGGGAGAAGGAAGTAATTGGTGGGGCGGGGTGGGTGGGGGGACTGGAAACGGGGTGTCTTTTCAGCTAAGTGATTTTTTTCGCAAGTACTAAACTTTAATTATTTTCTTACTGAGAGCTAAACTAACGTGTGTGAATATGAAAGTTATAACGAGAAAGAAGCAGAGCTTAAACACTTAATATGAGAAAAAATTATAACTAATTGCCTTAGTAGAGTAAACGGCAGGCATGAAATTTTTGAGCGTGGCAACTTTCTTCAGACTGACTTTTACAACAGTCGACACTAACACACTCTTACCTAGTCTCCCCTCCTCTCCAAAAAATTCCAGTAGACAAATATTTCATGAAGTTTACCTTGTGTACTAAGTTGCTCCTGACGGGCACTCAGATCAAAACTTGACAGTACACACGCTCCAGAATACAAACAGCTCTGAGGCTGGAAAGCACGCTCTCCACAGTGAAAAGGAAACTTTCCAAGCAATACTCCTGCCTGCTCTTATAAATTTAGCAACCCTTTCAGTCAGCCAAAAGACGAAAGCTGTCTAATCTTGTTCAGTTGTGCCGAGTTGTTCAATAAAGTTTGAGAGTCAGTGCAGACAGGCAACGCCAGGCCAAATTATTGACAGAAACATACTGTCCACCATGGCAACAAGCAGAAGTCGGCTGCAAAAATGTAAGCAAATAGCCCAGTGCTCCAGGAGCATCTGCCAATGGACTTTAACGGCCAAACACAAGGGGACTGTTCGTGCTTCTCTATGTTCAACAGCTGCTAACTTGGGGGGGGGGGGGGGGGGTCACACGGAAACATGCAATTCACTAAAAAGTTTCGGGGAAAAATTATTTTAAATACTGTCATCATAATCCCCCTTTTGTACCTCCCTCCTTGTGTATATCCACATTCTAGTGGAAGTTAACAAAGTCCTGCCCCCAGATGGAGAGCTGCCCAGCCATCACATTTTACAAACTGTCCCAGACTTTCCAAACTCGTCCAAAGGCAACCGACGTCGAGTCTTCGTGCTATGACCTCAGTCTGAAAGCTCAAAAGTCACTTCGCTGCGCATGCAGCTTACACCATTCATGGTAAAGGCCTGAAGAAAGTGCGCTGCGTGAAGCAGGACTCGAACACACACTCCTGGGCACGTCCTCACAAACTCCTCAGATAAAAGTTTCAGATAGTTCTTCCAATATAAAAATAAAACCCTGCACCGCATCACTGACTAGGAACACGCCCTGTCGCCCTAGCAAAATAAGCTGATTAGGAGCTCACAGTGCATGCACGTGGCTGCTTTTTCTTTTTTTAAATTAACATCGACTTTTAAACTGCTCCCTTAAATCCCGTTTTAACACTATTACTCCTCTCTTCCCCCAAGACAAGAAAAGACACAGAGTATAAGACAACGGGCAATACTTACAACTCGGACCCCAGGCTCTGGTTAGCTACTTTCTGCAAACTTCTCTTGGTGGGCTTTCTCTAGTGTGCAGACCCTCTAGGAACATTCTCGGTGTCTCCCTGCCTCCTGCTTTCCCTCTCCCTCTCCCAGGCAGTGCTGCTCCCATTAGATGAATTAAAAGTGGTTGGAGCCATGCTAAATTTAACAAGCTCATTAGTATTCTTTCTGAGTGCTTCCGAGTGAACTCTCTCTATTCAAGCCCCTCTCTCCAGCAAAAGGGTCAGGCGGCTAATCATTAAATCAAACTAATGTCACCCTATAACAATCAGCCCGAGAGAAGGAGGGTTTATTATTTCAGTTTATGCTAAATAAACGGTTTTACAAATGGTCCCCAAGCAAGGTCAACAGCAGCTTCAATTACAAGACAAACTTAACAAGAGTTGCTATAAACCAAGTACTCTGTATTGACTTAAGAACAGGCTCAACTCCACGTATTACCACTAGCAGGGTTGTACAGGAATGCATATTGTAAAATAAAGGATTGGGGGGAGCTTCTTTCTTTGCCAGAATTTGCGACTGCACAGCGACTCCTCATTCACCTGTCTCCAACCAGCTAGCCGCTCAGCTCAATTCACCCCACACAAAGGCTGGAGCCCAGACCTCAATGGACCGAGTGAAACATGTTCAAAACTAGGCTCTCTATTGTGACTGAATTTCTTAACATCTTTTCAAAAAGCGGAGAATGCCTTGAGGCTAAAGGAAGAAACAGGCTAATGGTGAATTGGGAATTCTGAGCAAATTTCAGAGCCCTTTCCTCCTAGCTTTTGAGGTTGAAAGCAAGCTCTTTCCTTTCAAGTTTCAAAGTCCTTTTTCCTCCCGCAGTGTCACAGAAGGATTTGAAAAGAAGGTAATTGTGCTCGCAGTCTCCCTGATCAGAGCTTACGTCCTATTTCTGGTATTTCGGAATACTTCTTGCAATAATAGTGCATATAGCTCAATCCCTTAACCGGCCTGCACTCTGCAATTGCTCATTAAATGAACAATTGCGGGTATAAAATGCCTTTTATGTTCAAGGTCTGGATATAAGATAAGCATTCTAGGACTCTAAATTTGGTTTACTAAGGAAACTCTCCATCATTAAATTACAAAACTGAAGTCAGAATATCAGGCTTTCCCAGAAAAGTGGCACTCAGATTTCGGTGAGCCCAAAG